AGTATTGTTGATCATGAATCTAGCACCGAAGGCAGATCGACAAATTATGAGAGTACGTCTCATAAAATACTTCGGACTGGAACGGAACAAACAACGTTATTCAATGAAGCTTTTACAGAAAGTGAATTAGGCACCACTACTTACAGAACAACATCTAAAGACACTGAAAAGGGAAGCACTCCAGCCATTTCTGAAACACCTTCCACTATTATTGTTGATCATGAATTTAGCTCTGAAGGCAGATCGACAAATTATGAGAGTACTTCTCATAAAATATTACAGACAGAAACAGAACAAACAACATTATTTAACCGAGCTTTTACAGAAAGTGAATTAGGTACCACTACTTACAGAACAACATCTAAAGACTCTGAAAAGGGAAGCACGTTTCTTGAACCAACCGTCACTGAAACACCTCCCCCTAGTATTGTTGATCATGAATCTAGCACCGAAGGCAGATCGACAAATTATGACAGTACTTCTCATAAAATACTTCAGACTGGAACGGAACAAACAACATTATTTAAAGAAGCAAGGACTTTAGTCACAAAGTCTCTGTCATCTAATACGACTGAACAGTCAACGAGTTTCAATTTTGACACAACTACTCCCTACAGTGAGTCTTCATTTGGAGAGGATGTAGCCAATTCCACGAAAAATACTGGTTCAATACGAACAACGGTTGACATAATGAGCACATCCAGTAGTTTTGTTGATTTTAAGAAAACAACCTTCGTTGACACAACTGGAGCTCATGACCTCACAACTACTGTTAGTGGTGAAGAGACGCTCACCTCCTCATCATTTCCAAATTTTGAATCCCAAACACCAATTCCAGAAAAATCTATTCCATCTGATTCGACAGAAACTGATCTGATGCCAGCTATAAATACAACCCCAGGGCTACATACAGATTTGAAAACATCGCTACATGATGCTGTATCAGTGGGAAGTAATGAATTTACAACTTACAGAATGGAAACAACATCAACTGGAAAAATACCAAGTGGTATTACAATTCCCCTTGAGAAAACTACAAACTCTGATTACCCGTCATCAACAATTTACAATGAATTACCAACTGTGAGTGAGAAGTTAGTCACCGGAGCAACAGAGAAAGCAAATACTTTGGAATTTACCACTTTTCCTGCCAAATTTGCAGATGCAATCCCCACTACCGAATCATTAACTTCATTTGTAGGGAACAAAGCTCAAACCATCAATCCCACTTATTCAACCGAGTTAAATCAAGAAAGAGGGGTAACTGTTATTAATGACCCAGATTCGACGAGGTTTACTGGAAAAAGCCTCGTGACTGATGATACAACAATAAATGATAAGTCTTCAACGAAATCAGTGATGAAAGCAACAACTTTTGATGTTGATAATCCAACAGGATTTACAGAAAAAACTTTGACTACAACCGAAAAGTCACAAGAGAGAATGCTTGAGGTGACCAGTGATAGTGATAGTTTTTTGTCGATGATTACAGAAAAAGGAGTAACCTCTGGCTATGGCGCTAGTATGACAACATTTTTCACGGAAAAAATTACAACAAATTATGAAAGATTTACAATAGCAGAAACCATGCTAACTACTGAAAGTAATGTATTTTTGAGTGAGTCAATAACAAAAACCATCAATCCTACCTCTGATTTTGGCTCTTTTACGGATGAAAGTGTTTCAACTGATGGGATACCAAATTTTAAGGGGGGAACGGCGATTACTGTAAATGACATCTCTTCAACTATGCCCACAGAAAAAGCTCTAAATTCTATTACCAACCCTGTCCCATCAAAATTCACTGAAAGAACTGCAACAACTGATAGGTTACACACTGATAAGGAGATGGGTTTGAGAACAACAGCAAATGACTTTACTACCGATACCACAAGCAAAGCAGCTGATTCTGCCTTTACAACTACGCCATCACAATTCACAGGAAAATCTTTGTTGACTGAAAGAGCTTTGTCCTCTGAGGGCATGACGTTAACAGCAAGAGGTGATGCATTTTCAACAGAGACAGCAAATGCAGCCACCATTCCTGACTTTACGACAACCACCAAAATATATACTCAAGAGATTCCAGCCACTAATTTGTTTTTAGAACCTAATAAGACAGTGACAACGTTCACTGAAGACAGGTTTTCAACAAATCCAATAGATGAAAGAACAACTTCTAAATATGATGCTAACGCTATTGAAACTACCACAAATACCATATTCACCCATGTGCCTCCCATTACCGAGGCAAGGACTGAAAAAACTGAAAGAGATAGATCCTTGACGGAGACGGTAAACAAGTTGACAACTCCAGAATACGAATTGAATCATACAAGTTTTACAGAGGAAACCTTATCGACTGAGGAGGTTTCCACTTTGAAGGAGGCGACAACACTCATATCAATAAGCGAGATTATAAAAGAAACCACGGTGTCTGAATTTAATACTATTCAAAATAGATTTACTGAAAAAACGCCGGCTACTCTTAATTTAGACACATCAAAAGACTATTCAGTGACAAACATGCGTAAGCGCACAACAGAAACTACAGAAAAAACAACAATTTCTAACTTTGCCTCTGCCGATCCAACATTTACGCAGGAAACAACAAGCACTACTCAGGCATCTACACCTGGAAAGCACTCAGTTACTACGGGAAGTGACATGAAAACAACAACATTTCTGGAAACAACAGAGAAAACCACATCGTCCGATTTCACTTTTAATCCGCCTAAGTCTACAAGAGTAAAATCTACAACTGACGAGTCTTTAACGACAGAGGAGGATTTTGTAACAGCAAGCATTACGTACTCAGTAGGGATAACAGATGAACTTTCAATATCTCAATCTAGCACTGAACACTCAGGATTACCTGAAAATAAGATAACTGTTGATGTAGGGTCTACCATTGAGGAAAAAATTGTAACAACAGCGAGTGACAATTTGTTCACAGAACAACCACAAATCAGAACAACAGTAAATGAAAAATCAGAGGTAACATTTGATGACACCACTAAGTTACGATTTACCCATGAATTTTTTTCCACTGTTGGAGTATCCTCTTCTGAAAGTACTGTGGCGACAACAGCAATTCACCCATTTTCTACAGACTCATCAGAAAAATCAACAACCTCTGATTTTGATACTGCTGAACCAAGTTCTACTGAAAAAATTCCAATCATTGATAGGTCATCAACAACCGAAGACCATGTGACAGAAGTAGTTGAAAAATTGTTAACAGATCCAACAGAGGTACCAAAATATGGTTTTGACCGTACGAAACCCACTGTTCAAACCACTGACCAATCATTTACGCATGAGGGTAGCATTGAGACAACTGCTAGTAACATGTTTTCAGTGGAAGCAAAAGAAAGAAAAATAACAGCCAACATTGATGACATTACTACAAGAACGTCTATTGATGAAATTACAACTAATTATAATCCCGATCATAGTCGCACAAATTATGATAGAGATGTAACTAATTTTGAATCAAAATCAGATAAAACAACTGTAGGAATTGAAACTGTAACAGATAGAAAAACAACAAGTGATTATATCAGTACACTTTCCGGTATTTCAAATGGAAATTCAGGATCTTTTAATTTTGATAATGAAGTTAAAAAAACAACTCCTCGATCAGAAACGACAAAGTTTGACTCCTATTCTGAGGTGACTACTGCAAAAGAGACAGCAGAATCATCCAACACAATAGGACCTCAAAATACTTACTCCACTCAATCGTCAACCAAATTTTTATCTGAAGCTCCTTCCGTAACAACTTTCGTTGATAAAACTCTTCATACAGCAAGTGAAGATCCATACTCAATGACAAAAGTTGTCGAGGAGATTACTGCCTCTGACTATGACGCTATTTCACATAGCGTAACTCCTCAATCAGAAACGACAAAGTTTGACTCCTATTCTGAGGTGACTACTGTAAAAGAGACAACAGAATCATCCAACACAATAGGACCTCAAAATACTTACTCGACTCAATCGTCAACCAAATTTTTATCTGAAGCTCCTTCCGTAACAACTTTCATTGATAAAACTCTTCATACAGCAAGTGAAGACCCATACTCAATGACAAAAGTTGTCAAGGAGACTACTGCCTCTGACTATGACGCTATTTCACATAGTGTAACTGGAGGAACTATTGTCACCGATGAGTTACGGTCCATCAGTGGAAAAGTTACCACTGTTGGCTCTGATGCAACCTTTGAATATACTCCAGATTTTGGTAGAAAAACTGCCTTTACAACTTATGGCCCTGCTACAGAAAAAAGTGACATGACAACAATGTCACATGAAATTACAATTGATCGTGATATTAAAACTGAGAAAATATTTTCTGATATGGATACCATTTCCACCCAAAAAACACCTTTGTTCACTGATGCTTTCACGCCAAGTACTGAGACAGAAGCAATGGAAACTATAACAACTTCAATTCCTTCTGGTAGTCCATCAACTCCTGTCAAGGCAACTCACATTCCGTCAATGACATCCACTCAGAAAACGCTTTCAAGCTCAAGCATTTTACCGCCAAGTATTGAGACAGAGTCATCGGAAACTGCAACACCTACAGTTTCTACTTATAGTTTGTCAACTTCTGCTATAGCAACTGACATTCCATATGGTACATCTTTTGATGACACTTTGACCTCAATAAATGGAAACAGTGTTGTTCAGTTTTCAACTACTAAGGATCCCATGCCTGATCAGGAAGTTACAACTTCAAAACAATATCAAATTTCTGAAAAAACAACGGAAGAAAGAAAGCACATGATTGCTACTAAGGATGTAGCAACGCATGATGTAACCCTCTCAAGTTCTGAGAAAAACACACCCCTTCCAAATTCAGAAGGTGAGGTGAGAAACACAAGTCCCAAGTATGCCTCTGATGAATCAACTTTAGGAGTAGGAACCTTGCCACAAGAGATCTATTCAAAAGAAGTAACTGATGCAACTGAAAAAACGTTCATTGAAATGGTTACAACTAGTATCTATGATTTTGTTTTCCCTAGTGACAAAAGTGGAGAGACATCTAGCACTGATAAAGTATCTACTGTTGACAGAGGGGCATCCACCACTTTAGAACTGGTTCCCGATACAACAACTGTCTCGTCAGATAAAAACTTATTCTCTCACACTGAAAAAACCACCTTTCTCCCAGAATTTGAAGGAAAAATCACTACAGCAAACAACATTGAATTTACCTCTGACAAAAATACTGTTGGTTTAGATTTAATCTCACCTCAGTTCAACACTGACGGAACAACAGTAGAAGCTAAAACAACTTTCACTAGCGAAATTACATCTTCTAGTTCCACGACTGCCATTTTAAACCCTGACACAGATCTGAACACTGAAAACACTGAAAGTTCATCCACCGCAAAAACAACTATTCTTATGACAGACCCTCTTCCTCCTTCAACGAGGCAAGAAATTGTTCACCCTTTTGAAAAAACTTCTCCAACATCGAAAACAGCACCCACAGCTTATGACCTAATAACTGAGACATCACCGACTCAGGAGGTATCGACCAATGTCCCCGATTTTTATCAAACGTCAACGGAAAGCTCATATCCAAAGTTTGATTTCCATGATAAATTTAGCACTGGTGAAACAATTGACCTCAAGAAAACTACTTCTGTGAGTTATCCTGAGGAAAGCCTTGGACTAGTAACTAAAAGAACTGAAGAAAAATCGATCGATAGGGCAACTTCTTATGCTACTGACTCTGACTTTGCAATTACCACTTCTGTAAGCAAAGAGATGTCCACATCTTCTTTTAATGAAATAAGTAGGAATGATGCTGATACAACTTTGCAGACTGAGAACATTTTACCTGAAACAACAACTATTGATGCAAAAACTAGTGATCATGATATAATTTCAACACAAGTTACACAAATAGATTCCTCAACGGATAAAGTGACCTCCCTCATTTCGAACATCGCAACAACAAGCAGTACAAGTAAGTTTTTTAAAGAATCAACAGCTGAGGGGGAGTTTTCTACAACTTACATCAGTAGGGCGAAATTACCTGTTACAACTGATGGTATCACAATTGATAATGTCGACTTAACAAGTTCGACCACGGAAGAGTATTTTGGCACTAAAATGACAGATGAAAATATAACTCCAGCCTCTGACATAGAAGCAGCCTCAACCTTTGGAACAGATTTCACCAAAATTATCAATAAAACAAGCAAAGCAGCAGAAATTCCTGAAACAGTCACAACGTCTGCAACTAGCATGAAGAGTTGGGAGGAACCTAGCACTGAAAGCAGCTCAACTTTCTATTTTTCAGACACAACAGCTTCAACAATTCCTGTTTTTAATAAAGTTAGCAAAGAAACTTCAACAACAGAAGAGTTGGAAGTCACCACCTTAAACCGTCAAACAAATGAAAATTCATCTACAGAAACATCATTTGTCGCAGATAGTAGTTCTACGACCGAGCGTATGTCCCATGAGACAGAAACTTCTTTTCATGATGCACATGAAAATGTCGCCAACTCAACTGAAACCAGAAATATATTTGCGGAATGGCCCACAACAAGCATGGTGGATGCCTCCGTGAATGAAACATCAACTTTTTCCAGTTTGAGTGACATCACTCACATGACTGTAGATAATAATATGACTCAATTTCCCACCGAGCCACCATCAAAAGATGAGCAATCAACTCCAATGTTCTTGTATGAGCCCATTTCAGGAAATAACGAAAATAATATACAGACAACCCTGATAGAAGAAACAAAAATCACTGAGTCTGATATTATGTCAACAAGCTACATCAGTCTGGGAACTTCCACCACTCCCAAAGTATTGACTGAAAATAAGTTTTTGACTGTTGGCATCCCTACTGAGCATGGAATTTTGAACAAAGGCCAGGAGACAACGGAAAACAGTGAAACTGTTCCCACTTCGCTCCCTGAAACTGACAGGTCTGAGGCTACATCAAGCAGTACCAACTTTTATAGAAGTACTATTAATCCTAAAATAACACCAGAGAGGGAGGGAACCTCTGTAACGGCATCTTTTAGTGAACGCTCAACACTCTTCTCAACGGAAAGTGAAGAGAAAACGACTGCCTCAGTTGAAATGACCCACAGCACTCCTGTAAGTAGTACCCCTCTTTTTACCGAGATTCCTGATGGTACTGTAGAAACTAAAATATTCAGTGTTGAGAGCACTTCAGACTTCGATAAAATCAATGATGGCGAGGTAACAAAAAAATATACCTTTGTTGATTCAGTCACTGTTTCTGATGAAAGTCCAACAAGCACTTATTTTCCTCCTACTAATGGAAAAACACAAGGAATGAATGATTTGTACAGGCCTAACACCGAAAGTGATGCTACTGTAGGATTTAGTGAAAATGGAAAAACTTCAAATGAATTTGAGAGGGAAACTGAAAGTGGACCCACAGACTCAACTTTTAGTTTAGTTGAAGGAAAGGTAATTTTTGATTCAACAACTACTACGTGGCTATCAACTAGAACAAGAACTTTTTCTGAACCAGAAACCACATCCGAGATTGTTGATTCAGTGACACAGAACAGAAAATCTTCTCATGAGGAAGAGAACTCTTTTAATACACCTCTTAATACAGGTAGTGATCGGACAGTGACTGAATTTCTTGCTCATCAAACTACTGCAACACCTATATCAACAGTATCATTACACCAGGGGACAGTCACTTCTCCAGAAATAAGGGAAACCAGAAATACTTTGCCCAATGAAATCATCATGAATGATAAAACAACTATTCTGACCACTATAATTCCCACCACTAATAAAATGAACAATTTCCTAAATTCACAAACTTTCTTCCCACCCACCTCACAGACAGAAAAGGTATTGTTTGAAAATGACATCTATCACAATACAGCAGTTGCTGATGAGAAAGTTACAGTAACATCAAATCTGCATCAACCCTTTACTACCACCGAAACAGTGTCAAATGAGGGAACGAAGTTACCCTTCACGAAGACAACTTCAGATAGTAGCAATGAAGGCACTACCTCACATTCCACCGATGTACCGTCATTTGGTGTTACAAATGAAAGCACAGAAAGTGTGATCACCAAAGTAGCCTTAACTACCGAATTTGTATCTATTGCTCAGTCAGAATTCACAACGGAAACTCTCTCAGCCACAGAACTTGCAACAACCTTTCCACCAAACACTTCTTTTATCACGAATGTATCAGAAACTCCTTCTTCAGCGACATTTTCACCCATCGATGTTGATTACCTTATCTGTGATACCGATGCTAGTTGTCCGAAAAATAATTTGTGCTTTAATTCATATTGTATCAACTTGTGTCCATCAAGTATGTGCCATACATCAGTGAATAACTGCACTATAGACGCAGATAACCAATTTTGCATTTGTGCTTCGCCTAGTAAAAAAAAGCCCCCATTTTTCCCGTGTAATATTCATCCAGGTAATTTATTTGTTCTGTAATTTTCCTTCAGTTTGCACCTTTCACCAGTTATGAGTCTTACAAAAACCTATTGATTTATGATATCTGTCATTTTCTTTTAGTTCAATGGAAACCTTTTGAAGCAAAAAAAAATATTTTTGAATATTTTGAACTAAAAGAAAATCCTTGAGCATAAACACTGCATTCATCCGATATTACCTGGTTTTTCTGTGCCAAGGATGAAATAGTGCTTTTCCAAAGGAAATGCACTATTTTTACCAGTCCTTGCTCACAGCATTCTAACTTGCCTACCCCAGAATGTGACTATGGTTGCTGAAAAAAATTGTTCAAAATGCTATTTTATGACGTGGCATTCTCTTAAACTTGCACTGCATCTGGTTGCCATTTTTTGCTCTTCAAATTTCCGAAAAGTGCCGCATACCAAGAAAAGAAGAGGTAGACCGAAGAGGTTCTGTCTCCCAAATTTTGGTGAATCTGAAATGGATTCAGGAATATTTATATAAAAGTTGATAACTCATTTTCTTTGAACAGAAAAAGTCTGACTCAGTGGTTTTAAATCAATTTTTATCATTTCGGTTTTGAAGGAACAATTTACAAGCACCTGAACATTAAACTTAAGAAGCGAGAAAGAAAAGGAAAAAAAACCTTAAATTTGCACCATTTTTTTTATACCTTTTACTTCTTGTGATGAAAGTAATCTGTAGGATGTTATCTTGATTTGAATTTAATTTGAAATCGTAACTCTGCTTTTATATTTATGTCGCTAAAAGAATCCTCAATCTTCTTTTACTTAATCACGGGAAATTATGAGTTTCAATCAACAACCACTGTGTATAACTAAGAAAGTATCAAACATATTTTTTTTAAAAACAACTCTTAAACAGAACTTTTTTCAACTTCCCCTTTGTTCCTTTATTTTATACCCTTTCAATTTACGACTTATTTTATTTTTGCTTTCAGTTCATTCAACTGGCTACTTTTGGCATGGTTACAGTTCTATATTCATCAGATGTTTTATGTATCTGCTTGTTGTGATGATGCTTTCCCACAGCAAATTTTTCTAGCTTCTCAACTGTGTTACCTATGCATAAAATATGCTGTCTCATCAATGTTTTTACTAAACTTGGGTTTCTAGCAATTGTTTTGCAAAACAATTTGGTTTATCTTCACTTATATTTTTTTCTCCTCTTTTGCATTTACCTGTTTTACAGCGATCTTTGCAGATGTTGAAAGCAAACACCCCACGGATGGCTGGATGATCCATCTCTGTCTGGTTTTCTTGTTTTTTAAATATTATGTAAAAGAAACAGAAAAAAAAGCCCGTTTGTTTCTATTTTTTGCATGGCATGTTCGGCTTATGGTGTGCATGATTTTGATATTCAAGTTTATTTTCAGGAGGTGGCATTTACGGTTGATTTATTTGTGTATAAAGTAAAATATCTAATGGGCTCAAACTTTATGAGACCCTGAAATGTCTCAAAGATACGTATATTCAAAAGTAAAAGATATTACCAATAATATATTTGCAGAAATTTGATAGCCAGTAAGTAATTGTTACCAATGTATAATATCATCAGTACTATCAGACTCTGTCCTTAAAAACAATTTTGCAGAATTCTCGAAGTCAGAGGCACAGCCCCTTCATTTTATTTTGCAAAATTGTTGCAAAAGATGTATGAGAGAATTAAAAGAGCTATGCTGCATTTTGAGTGATATTTCACGAAAATCTGCTCCGTCAGACAAATTCTTTCAAGCTGAAATTTCACCATTGTCAGTTTTTGACCTCACCAGCAAAAATGTGCAATTTAACTTTGTGTCTCTCTATTTCCTTTCTTACTATGTATTTTTATTTTTTCACCTATAGCTGTGGGATGCACAGTTGACGAAGAATGTGTACACGATTTGGCCTGTGTGAATCACCAGTGTCAAAATCCTTGCCATATTACCAATCCTTGTGCCGGTCAAGATGTTTGTCAATGTCAAAATCATATACCAGTCTGTATAAAAGGTAGGTTTACTTCAAATATTTCCTCACCCTGATTCTACTAATCTTTTTAGGAGATAGTGCGGTGAGTTGAATGAGTCTTTTTCAATTTAAATCTAGTTTTGGGGTCGAATGTCAGACATGTGTTCTTGCTAAAGTCCAATGAAGAGAAATTTATGTATTCTACGCTTCTTTGTGTAAAAATGTTTTTTTGTTTTTTATGTAAAGTTAGAGTTTGAATAGTTTTTCGGGTAAATGCGGAAGAAGGAAAAAGTTTTTTTTAAAAAAAGAAGCCTTGTTTTGCTTCCGTGCAAAGATTTGATCAGCATGTATATCTTTGCAACTAAAGGAAGATATTTTCTTGTCTATGGTAGTCTCTGATCTCCATCTACTTGCTGTGTGATGAAGTATTCAATTAATGGAGAGCAATTGTTGTTCAGTAAGTTATAACTGCGCAGTTGGAAGATGCAAATCGGAAGTCAGTGATAGTTAAATTGTCATTACAGTATGTAATAACCCTCAAAAAAATTGTATGCCCTTGCCCTAAGGATGCCAGCAATTAGTCGGTTCTAATTTCTTTAGTAATAACTGTATTGAAGAAAAGCAGGTGTGAATGGTGCTTTTATTCTTCCTCATGACCAAGTTTTTTTATAAGCTGAAGAAGCTAAATTCATAAATTTTCCAGTTTATTTTAAGTTCCTGCGGAATTCAATTTTCTTTATTTACTCTTTTTTAGACCCAAATCCTGTGATTAGCTGCAGCCACTGCCCTCCTGGTGCTAAATGTGATCCTTATACTGGAGCATGCTCAAAAGGTAAGTCCCAATTTTCAGTATGTTGCCTGCACTAACTAAATGTATGTAACAATTCAAAATTCTTGAAACAATTTTGAATTATCCAGGTGAGAATAACGTAAATCAATTTTCAGTGCAACCTCGGTCCAAAACTTTTGAGTTTGCTGGATTTTGAAGGCACTTCTGATGATTTTTACAATAGAAGTCAGGCTAGCTGCAACTGAGCTCTATCTCTTTACCAAAGTATGCTTTTTTCTCCAAAAATTTTATAAACCTTTCATCTAATGTTCTAGTCAAGTGCCTTCAATTTACTTATCACATCTATTCTTACATGACTGTTCACAAAAAAAGGGACTTAAACCCAAAAACTCGAAATTGAATTACTGATAAAATAGCATAGAACAGTGCTCTACGAACATTTTGGGACCAAATACTTTTTACAAAAATGTCAAACAGAACCATATTGACATATTTTCCATATTGACCATGGAATTCATAGATCTAAAAATGTAATTTTGAGAAAATACTATTCAAAATTGCCATTTGCCATAACAGGGGACAAAATTGTTGGATTATAACATAACTTTAGGCTCTCCGTTGGTTTAAAGATGAACCAAACCTCTGGAAACTCATTCTGTTGGTTACTGAAGAGATTTTCCATCAAAATCTTAAAATCCGATTTTTCGATCCAACTTGACAATAATCGCTCTGCTGAGAATTTGTCACCCTAGAATAAGTTCCCATTTCTGTGGACAGTTACAAATGTATTTATTCCAAATTAATTTTATAGACAGAAGAATTTCGAAGTCAGAGAATTATTTAATACCCTATTTAATATTACAGGCATCATAAACATTTAGGTTACCTCATTCTCTTTCCTGTAAAAATCATCAGAAGTTTTTCAAAAGTCAATTTTTTTTATTTCAAAGTTTTTCGTTTTTTTTTTTCATTTTATGATACTACTCTTGGAGTATTCAAAGTATCATCTTGCTGATTTTTAAATTGAATATTTTAAATTTTTAAATATTCTAATTTAAACCCCACCTAATGTTCCAATTTTCATTTGTCATTCAAGTCCATCTTTCATCATTTACCTTTATTCTAGAATTTTTTTTTTCATTTTCTCAACCGGTGTGTTGCTGTCTTTAAATGCTTGTTAGTGAAATCCCTTTTCTCTCTTCTTTCCCCAGTTTTCTTTTCCCCCAAATCCATTTTTTAGAAATGAATATAAGGGTGCTTTTTCAATGCCTACAATGGAATGACTGAGTACATCTCTCTCCTCATCACATCAGGCGCAATAATCTTCTACAAACATAGTGTGTTTGAAGGTTAATCAGCCAAATCTGAGTTGGCATCTTTCCAATTTATTTTCAAAATCTGCGTTTCTTTGTTTGAGTTCTTCCGTTTAAATTCTTTGAAGATAAATATTAAACAGTTAGCAAACAATGGCCAGTCTTTTCAACTCATAAATTCAACTGTAAATGAAACTCCAAAGTTGATCAACTGTCGTGAGGAACTGCAAATTCTTTGGTTCCGTCAGAATCATGAGGTGCGTAAAAATCTTGTTTTCCTAACCCATAATTTTGCCTGGAAACTTCACTTGTTAATTTCAATAATGTTTTCCTGTGCACTACATCACAGAAATATTCGTCAAAACAGATTTGTAAAGTATGAGCACACAGAATGTGTTTTCACCCATTTCATGTTGAGAAAGATAGTGGAGACTGAATCATAAACCGTGCACTTTCAATTTACTCAGACACTTTGCATTTCTACTAAATTTTTCACTTTTTTTTTTTTTTTTTTTTTTTTTTTTTTTTTTTTTTTTTTGTATATTACCATTATTTTATTGAATACTTCCATCCAAAAAGAAGCTCAGCTATCCAAAATGATTGCTGGTGCTCAAACATTTACATATCACTTGATTTAATAACTAACAAAGGATCTAATTTAAAGCACCTGAAAGTATGATTTGCAAGAGAATTATTATTTTTTATTTTTTTGTTCCTTAAGAGTTTCTCATCATTTTTTAGTGGTTTTCATGCCGGTTAAAACCTTTGAAAATATATGAGCACAGCATCCATTGTATGCAAAAGTTACATTGTGAATTGCACCGTTTGGTTAAAAGCACTTTTATTTTCTTCATCCTGAAATTCATATAACCTAAACAAATTTACAGAGTAAAATATCCTGATACACAATAATGTGTGACTTAAAATGCAATATTGATTCATCAACTTCATAATAACATTCAAATTTCCTCCATCTCATTGCCATCAGCTCAGTGTCCAAGTCACAATGAGCATTTTATGACAACTTAATTTTTCTTCTCATTTATCGCAGATGTTTTGGTCTTTCAAAAAACAAACAATGATATCACTCTAACATCACACAAACTCATATTAAAGTAGCAACACACCTTCCTTGTTAAATACTGTAGATTCTTCAACTTTCCGCACTTCTTTTTACGCTATGTGTTCTTTTCTATGATGCCTAATTTACAGTCAGAATTTTTAATTCTCCATTTTTAATTCTCCTTTTTCTTCTTTCATATTAATAAAATTATTAGTATGTCTCTAATCAATTTTGTAAATTGTAAATAAAATGCAATGGTAATTTATAAATCACTCCTCAAGATTGTTCTAGAAAATCTAAGTTTTTATCAAACAACGGACTTGTTTGGAGCAGGAGAGAGCATTTAATGGACAAAATACTTTGTCTCAATCCTTTTCTGCTGAAGCACAGACTGCAGCATGGGGTTTAGTTTTTGCATGATGCATGTATTTTAAGTTTTGTGATACTCCTTTTTTTATTGGTTTCCATTCATTTTTATCAATCAACCTACTCAAAGCACAAACATTTTTACGTTGACTCCATAGTCGGTGCTTCTGATTCCATCCCTCACATCGGCTCAGCGCTCATCATGGACCATTTTAGTGTAGCTCACTCTAGAGGTTTTAGTCTGTAGATTATCACTTGTCAATACATATCATGACAATTCTGTCCTTAAAACTGTATTCGCTGTTTCATTTAAGTGAATCGGGGTAACTAGAAGAAATTGCTATGGTTATGGAAATCTTTTAAATTTCTATATCGCATTTTGCCCTTTTCATCTATGCACTAATTTTACAACCTGTTTGCTGTCTCTGAAGAATGAATAGATTGTACCTATTCATTTTTGCAATAGACTACTTCTACTAATCTTTGTTCACAGACATTATTGATTCAAACCTGTGCATCCTCTGTCTTAAGCTGGTTGGGTTAAAACTAGTGCCCAAAAAAGAAACGATTTCAAAGCTTAAAGCTGAACAAAAAGTTTTGTTAGGCCATAGGAAATATTCCTGTCACTGTCCAGTTTTACTGTTTTGTCGTCTCAGTTATTGTGGCTGCTCTATCACTAATAATGTTTGAAAATTAAGTAGAAGCTTAAATATGAAAAATGTCTGCGTTTTAAGTACCAGATTAGGCTTCTATGTTTCTCCAAAAAATATGGAGGTATCTTGCACATCTCGCACATTCTGAAAATTAGATTTCATGTCATGGAGTGAGACATTCTAGAATTTCAGGCAAACACTTGTTAAGAGCATTTAAAAATGCCCGTATTCCTAAAAATAACAAAGCTTCTAGTTACCCCAATGCACGTTTTTTAAGCAGTTATTTGTATGAAGGTTTTCTCGGCCGGTCAATTTTCTGTCAGTTGTTTTGTATGCAGCTGAATGCTTTTAATTTTTTGGGTTAAAATCTGCAATTATGTTGTGAGTAGATGGTATGAAATTGCAATACCGTTGCCTTTCATTATTTAAAGCTCCACTCAGGAAACATAGCTATCCTGAGTGGCATTAGCCTCACAACCACACGTCCTCCCCCTTCTCTAACTTAATCTACACCTAACAATATAAGCAGTCTTATCGTGAAAAAATAGTATCCCATTAGATAACAAACAATCAACATAGCATCAAAACTGACGGAAAATTGCGGCGGAAACTTCTAGTAATAGTGATAGTATCAGGTCTGCATGTAGTAAAATGGAATCAAGTAGCTGTGAAAATCTTAAACATTCATGTTTACACCACATGACACAGTATTTTTAAAATCTCAATTCAACTGTTTTTGAACTTGTTAACTTAACTTTCTTGCCATCTCATACTCCTATCTCATCAAAACAAGGAGTGTTCTTGATTGCTGGATGCAGAGTACTCTCACAGCAAAATCTTTTTTTTTTTTTTTTTAATATTATTGCTAGTAAAAATCAACTCATTTTACTTTGAAGTTCATGATGGGCTTTTTGGATTACTTCATCTTCCATCTGTGTTTTATTTATCCTCTACATTTGTACTTCACTCATTTGTTCCCAAAATAATTTGCTCTTCTGGTCATTGTCTCTCATCAAATAATGAAATTGCAGCTTGAGTTTTTGGCTGAAACCCCCCCCCCCCCAAAAAAAATAAAAAAATTGGAGCCTCTAATTTAAGTGGAGAATTATCCTTGCATGTTTGTAGTGATTCTACCTTAGATTGAAGATAATTAACACCGCTCAAAATTACATTTAATAGATAATGATGATCAGTTGGCTTCCAAATAAGTTAAGTACGATTGAAAATCTGCCACATTGCAAACAGAGATACTCACCTGTTTTACTAGTTGTTCCATTAGTATGCTTTATTGTTGGTGCAGGTGCAGGTGTACTTAAAGATAGTATTTTTTCTGACAAAAAAGGGTTTGCCTTAGTATGTTCATTAGTAATAAGTACAAGCTAATTTTTCTTGGTGTCAGCATAATTTTAGTAACTATTGAATCACTCCATAACTTCAAGAAATTCCCAATGTAAAGAATATTAAACGCAAAATTTTGGGAATCAAATTGAGTGAAACAGGAATGCATTATCAATGAATCTATCATTCATGACCGATAGATTGAAAAAATTTCATCCTGAATTTAATTCATGGGAATTTTATTCAGTTCGCTTGAATTTCATTTAATTGTAAGTCGCTTTTGTAGCCATTAAAATTTAATTAATGTGTTCAGCCAACATATCTAAGATCTCATTGTAAGTATTTAGTTGTCACGATCAAGAAGAGACCTCCAGCTTTGAAATATTTTTTCATGCAAAAGACCCTCACGTATCGGGTCCGACAGGTGCCAAAACTGAGCTGGATAAGTGAAATCGGAATAATAAGTTGAAATACACCAACAATCATAATTTTGCTACTAAACATAGTCATTGTGTACACACTACAAACCTGAAACGGGTCTGAAGTATCAGTCAAAAGTCTACCTCCTGGCTTTATTACTTTCCCTAAATCATTTTGTCAGCATTGAGCCCATTATTACATTTAATTTGTCAGTAATGACTAGCATCAATTTGGACTCTTTGAATTTTAACTTTTGCATAGTTTTAAAATTGAGCCAGATAACATCAAGCCTTCATAATCAGGCTTCTACTGTATCTTTTCTCGCAAAAAAATTAACACCAGGAATAGGATTGAATCCCCCATCCACAAGTTGAAGATCAAGGAACACCTCCAAGTAGCAATTTTCTTGCCTTTTCATTGATACAGCCATCTTAAAAACTATCAAAGCTGATTTATGTAACTTGCGAAAATAGTGCAGCAGTCCCAAAATTTCCCCTCTCCTGGAGCCACCTCCTAAAGTTTTCTTCCTGAATAATCTACTGATCTCTTCTATACCCACTTACAGAGCACATAATGAGTGTATAATATTTCGAGTCCTAAAATTGTGTCAAGATGCATATTTAAAGCTCAAAAATCAGACTTTCATAATTACAGTTCTCCATTTTCACTACTCCAGCTGAATACAGCTGTAAAATTGTTTTCAAGCACTCCATTGACTGAGTGTATTTTTGTAGCATGATGAATGCAAAATCAAGTAGTGTACCAATTTTTTGTTTTAGCCTTCCTTTCATAATTGTTGTTTCCAAACAGAAAAAAGATCAACGAAGGTCTATTGGTTTACTCTATTTTTTTTTTTTTTTTTCAAAATATCACATAAAGAAACATACATTTTTTAGCATTGGGTGGGTGAAGAAATTTGTATTGTTTTAGTCAATCGTGAAGTTTCTCTGTTGGGTTGCCACAGTTATGATAAGGAGGGTGAATCAGAAAAAATTATGGTGATGGTCGCTTCCAAAGCTCCTCTCCTCCACAAGTCTCAAAACTTTGAGCTTCTCACATTCTGGGAGATGTGTTTTTGCCTTTGATCTTATGATAAACCTAGGTTCTTGAAGGGAAAGATTCTACTTCTTTCCAATCAAACATAATCCATGTGTACCTGAGGACAAAACCTGAGTTTCATACTTTACAAAAATGTCACACTTCCACAACAGACTGTTTTCAAACTCTTTTTTATCTACTTTTCCATTATTTCTGAATACTCAGACTCCCAGAAAATATGTTTTGTTTGTTTACTCCAGTTTTTTATTTTTTTATTTGTTGTGGAAGTTTTTTAACAATATTATTCACCATTTTCTATTCGCCATCCATCTTTTTCTCATCTCATTTCAAAAACTTTTTTGGCGACTTATGCACATCCTAAAATGCAAATATCTGAAATGGATGTTTAGATTTAAGCCAATTTTCTTGGTAAAGCTTCCTACATATCACCATAAAAACTATTAGATAATTTATATAAAACTTGACACTGCGCAAATAAATTTAGATTCATCTTGCCTCTTGGATTTGGATGAATGTACCAATTGCAATCATAAATCTTCCATTCCTCTCGAATCAGATCGTTCAATGAAGAGCAATTTTAATCAATCTCAGTTGGATAACTGATTATAATGAACAATAATTATTTTTCCCAGACTTGTACTCAATTGTGATGAAGGGAATAGATATAGGTAGCTTTATTCTTAATATTTAAATCACATCATCTTCACCCTAGTCTTTAAGGTTTTTCATATTTTATAACTAGCATAGTAATGCAAAATGTATTGATAACTCTCCAAACTGAATAGTAACAGCCGTTAAGATGAAGAGCAGGTTTCCTTTTCTACTTGTTCATTCAAGAATTTCTTTACATCGAACTTGCCTTTTTTCTATTAAGAAGTTGTATAAGTGGGGCAATCTTATAATTCTTACATCCCCCCCCCCCCNAATCATCTTTTGACAGGACTAAGACTCATTAATTAATCGTATTCTACATGCCCTCTACTGAGCAACAATTGATCAAAATCACTAGAGACCATTATTCTTTGAATTAGCTGTAAGCTATATAGATGTACCTACTGTAAATTTTAGTCTATGCATGTACATAATTTTTAACTTAATTTTGCAAAATTTGACTAACTCTCGCTATTTGTGTGTGATTTCTCCTTTTCCCTCGCCTGCTATCCTTTACATTCCCTCAACATACAATTTACCTGTGATCAACGTTCTGTGTCTTGAAAATCACTCATCCTAGAGACATCCGGAGAAAATCTTACTAAATCCAATGGTGCTAACAGTACCAATAAACATATGACTGACTCTGCAACATTGACTAGTATTTTAAAAATTACAACGCCAAATTATGATTCAATTACACGTTTGTCTGATTTTGTAAATAGCACATCAGTAAATACTGTCTCAAGTTTTGATTCTGTTGTTACAGAAAATTATCCTAGCACTAATATTATCACAAAGATCAATTCTGGTGATAACGTAACTGTGATGTATTTAGATAATGAAAATTCTACTCATAGTGATAATGAAGTTCCTACAACCAAAGTTTCTGATTTTGAAAAGACTGATAAACTAATCACTGAGGTTCCTCCTGATGCAGCCGCGACTGTGTTCCCTAGTACCTTATCAATTACCGAAATTATAATGTTGAATTATAGTAGTTTTAGTACAATTGGCTCCACAGTAGAGCAAAGCTCTGAGTCAATTTTTACAGAGCAAATTTCATCCAAAACTGCCAATCCCAATTTTATTACTGATAGAAAATTAGATGAAAAATCTTATAATAGTACAACTGTAAATATTAGGAATTATATGAATAATGAAACCAATCTAAGTCGAGGAACAACTCCTACCACTTTTATTGAACTTCCTACTCTCTCACCAAAAAATGTTAGTTCTACTCATACCATTACTGATTCAGTTACCACCGAAAATCTTAGCAAATTAACTGAAAGTATTGTATCCGATGTGTATATTGAAGTAAATGGCACGGCAAGTACCATTGAAACAATTGGACTAACCGAAAGTACTAATCGAAATGCACTTTTCACTGGAAGCACTTTTGATAGTACTGTTTCAATGGAAAATACTCCAGAAATGTCAACTACAAGTATAGGTATTGGCACAGAATCAACTGAACATGAGTCAGTTACCTCAAATTCAGAAGAGACAACTACATTCAATTACAGTTATACTTTTTCAACTACAGCCGATCATGAATCATCATTATCTTCTGATCACACTTCACACGCAGTCAGTGCATCAGAGACTGAAGTTTACTCCACGACACCTGAAGAAACTTTTAGCATTACACCGTTTGCATCAACTCCCTTGTCCTCCTCTGTCCACCAATATATTACCGGAAGGACAATGGTGGATTACGAGTTTTTCACCAAACCAGAGACTTTTTCAAATGAACCTGCGACCACCTCTGATTTACCTGAGACGTCCTTTGTCACTACAGAATCAGTTTCGCATGTATCTGGTTTTACTAAACCTGTCTCTGACCCCGGAACTTCTCCTCCTTTTTTACCCGATGTAACAACGACCGCCCAAATGATCCCAGTAAAGAATGTGTCCGATTCTCCTACACAGAAAACTCCTATCTTTGAAACAACCTCAGCTGTCATAAATTCAGTATCTACAGACAGTGGAGAGGCTACATCAATTTTCAAAGATCTTGTAACCACAACAGATTCTCAAATAGTTCCGTCGATCGCAACAACTTCAACTTTAAATTATGAAACTTCCCAGGATATCACGGTTACAGGACATATAACTGAAAAAGCATCAACCGATGAAAGCTCATATACTCTTGAAGAAGTCGAAAAATTCTATTCAACGTTAATGCCAGAAACTACCACCGCATTCATGTCTGCAACGTCAAGCACCTCTCAAATTGAGACTGAGACAAGCATTTCTAGTGACTCGACAACGTCTGTAATCGTCGACGTTACGACGGGAACAGTTAAATCAATTGATGCCGACTCTTTCACCAGTAACAGCTGGTCACCAACCTCGATGGTTACCGAAAAGTATACAGATATACCCACCGTTGACGTAACGTCAACTGATTCTGACTTAAATTCTACTGATGCAAACATTGCACCCTTAAATCATACGGCTCCAACCACGCGCTCAGATGTTGGATCAACTTCTAAAAGTCCATCCTTCAGTGAAAATTTTACGACACTAAAATATAGTGACCATACCTCAGCAGAAGCAACGGTTGAGAATGATTCTATAACCTCACGCACTTCATCAGAAACTGTAACAGCACCAAATCTGCTGAAAGACAGAATTACGACTGCAACGGTAGAGGCGCCAAACCGCACTGAATCATCAACTACAATGGGACAGTCTTTCCTAACGACCACTGAAAACTATGCAGATGTTTCCACCGTTGAGTCAACTCCCCTTTATACCGGTAGTATAACATTCAAGTCAAAATCTCTTTCTGAAACAACTGCATCAGGCTTTGAGCCGACTGTGACGTACTCGGAGGGAAATATGTTAACATCCGATGATGTCACGCTGGCAATAGATTCCGGTACAGTTCCATCGGCAGCGAGCACTGCGTCCTTCGAGGGAAGAACAACCACCAGTTACACTGATGAAACCATGGTCACCAAACAAAGCTCCACGTACAGTTCCTCTCCCACGGAAGAAGGCTCAACACTGAAATTCCCAGACACCGTCATACCGCAAACTAGTCTTAAAGCCACTGCTTCAACCGCAGTGTCTTCTAAGGACCACGAAACTTCCGAAGCAACCACTTCTCCAGCCATGACAACGATTGAATCTGTTGAAGGGTCAACGGCTGAAGTGGGATCAGTACATTCAGAATTGCCAACCACAGAAGTTGCTCACTACACTTTTGTTACTTCTGCTAAATCTGCCGATAAAACCACTTTGAAACCAACTTTTTCCTCTGAAACAACTTCAGCATCGACGGATACAGAAGGAACCACGCTAATATCCAGTCGGCTGACGACGATAAAAGACTCAGAAACAACTTCGTTTCAAGAAAGCATCACCACTGAATCTATTGCAACGTTGTCAACTACTTCTCCGAATCTTCTTACACAACCAACCGTCCTTGTAATCACAACCACGTCGGCAACGGACGATGGCTCAAAAGGAACAGGAATAGCTTATACTGAGACCACAGCATTTGCCCCTCAAACCGCAAGAACTGAGACAGATCAAATAACCGAACTAACCACTTCACCGGCTGCTATGACTGCAGCAACGACCGGAAGATCGAATGACGAAAGCGAAACCGTATACGAAGAATCATTTGTCACGATGATTGACCAATCCACTGAAACTACCTCTTCAATTCATTCCGACAGTGGTTTTACTGAGACTATTTCCTCCCCTAGAACAATCGCCGTCACTAAAACATCGATGGACGGAAAAGAAACGACTTTGATTTCTACTGAAGTGTCAACTGCAACCACCGATCTCTCCAGCACCGTAAAGTCCGAATTATCAGATCAAAACTCACCTCAAACTACTTCTACTCCAATCGGAGAAGTTTCAACCGTGAAATACGACGATACTAGCGGTCTACAAACTTCCACCGAGTATATCCCTGGGACTGACGAAACTATTAAAGATAATGCTAACAAAGTGACTATTTCCGCGGCCTCAGCAACTTCCACTGCGACTGAAAGTTCAAGGGATGTGATTGGAAATACGTATGCAGGGTCATCTATTACGGGCATCAAAGAATCGACCAAGAGCACTGCATCAGTGTCAACCGGCGCCCCTACTTTTGAGACCGTCCCTTCCTCTTCCTCAGTCTTAGCAGTCGGTACTTCAACATCAACGGCTAACGAAGGAACGACGTTGACATCCGTTGAACAATCAACAACACCAGATTTTGAAACAAGTGTATTTCATTCAAGCACGATGGCAACTTCAACTACCGAAGAAGGCACAATTCCAAGCAGTTCATTCCCCTTGGAGGAATTTTCTACCATACAATTCTATCGCACTGACATGCCACAAACGACCATCGAATCTATCACTCTGACCGCAAAAACTGAGGTGGATCTTGTAAATGAACCTACCTTTCATCCAGCTTCGGCAACTTCCTCAAAGACCGAAGCTTCAAGAGACGAAATGGTAACTGAGTATACCGAATCAGTGACCCCAAGGATGAAACTGTCTTCTGAAACTACCTCATCGATGTATTCCAATGGCGCCAGTTCTGAAACTCCTTCCTTCCTTGAGACAACTCAAAGTCAAACAACATCGATGAGTATTGAGGAAACCACTTTGACTCCGATTGAACTTACCACTGAGTCAACTGATTTCCCGATCACCTTAGAAACCCTAATTACTGAACAAGTCTCAACTCAAAGAACCACGTATACTAGGCTATTTATGACGGGCGAGGGAGAATCAGCTCAAACCACTGCATCAATGTTTGTTGGCACTACTGTTCCGGCTGCCTCAGCAGTCAATGCATCCACATCAACGGCCAAGGAAGGAATGACTATGAAATACGAGGAAGTATCAACGGTAACAAAGTTTGAGACGGATGGTCATTTTTCGAGCACCGTTCCTACTTCATCTTCTGAACAAGGTACAATTCCTACCGGTTCCTTCCCTTCCGAAGTGGGTTCAACCAAAAAACTCGACGGTATTGATATTCCACAGACGCCAATCGACTCCATCTCTCCGACTGCAAAAACAGAGCCATATTATGTGACCGAATCAAGTACTACGCCGGCCGAAGCAATCTCTACCACCATTGAAGGATCAAGGGGTATGATCGGAACTTCATATGGAGGGTCATTCACCACGGTCATAGAATCAGCTCATACAACCGCTTCAACTTTTGCCGATGGCATTGCTTTTGAGGCAAGCTCTTCCTCTGCCACAACCTTAGCTGTCGATACTTTAACATCAACAGCCAATGAACCAACGACGCTGACATCTGCTGATGTCTCCATGACAACAGACTCGGAAGTAAGTGTATTACATTCGAGCACCGTGACAACCTCATCTACTGAACAAGACACGACTGTAAACAGTTCCCTACCCTCTGAAGTGGGTTCAACCATAAGATTCGATGTTACTGACAGTCCTCAAACAACCGCAGAATTTACTTCTGAAACCGCTAAAACTGGTACAGATTACACTCCTGAACCGACTACTACAACAGAATCGGCAACTTCTACCACCTCTCTGACCGCAAATACAGAGCCACATCATATGATCGAATCGAGTACTACGCCGGCTGAGGCAATCTTTACCACCGCCGAAGAATCAAGGGGTGAGATCGAAACCACGTATGCAGGATCGTTTACTACGAACATCGAAGAAGCAGATCAAACAACTGCATCAAAGTTCTCAGACGGCACTACAGTTCAAGCTACTTCTTCCTCTGCAACAACTTTAGCAGTCGATACTTCAAAATCAATCGCCCATGAGGCAACGACGTTAATATCCTCTGAAGTATCTACGGCAACAGACTTTGAAACAATTACATTAGATTCGAGCACCTTGGCATCCTCGCCTACTGTTCAAGACCTAACCACAAGAAGTTCGCTTCCCCCCAAAGTGGGTTCGACCATAAAATTCTATGTTACTGACAGCCCTCAAATAACTGCAGAATTTACCGCTGAGAACGCCAAAACTGAGGCAGATCTTGTGGCCAAATCAACTACCACGCCGGTTTTGGCCTCCTCTCCCACCATTGATGAATCAAGGGATGAGATCGGAACTACGTATGCAGGTTCATATATTACGGATGTCGAAGATGCTGCTAAAAGTACTGCATCAATTTTTGCCGACGGCGCTACTGGTAAGGCTACTTCTCCCTCTGGAACAACCTTAGCAGTCGATACTTCAACATCAACGGTTAATGAAGCAACGACGTTGACCCCTACCGAACTATCAACAAGAAAAGAATTTGAATTTAGTGTATTTAATTCGAGTACCGTGCCAACTTTATCTACTGAACAAGACACAACTTCTAGCAGTTCATCCTCCTCCGAAGAATTTTCCACAATGAAATTCGAAGTAACTGACAGTCCGCTAAGAACCACAGAATTTACCGCTCAAACTACAAAAACTGAGATACACCACTCCGCTGAAACAACTACCATGCCAGTTTCGGCAACCTATACCACCATTGAAAAATCAAGGGATGAAATCAGAACCACGTATGCGGAATCATTTACTACGGGCTTCAAAGAGGCAGCTCAAACTACGGCTTCAATGTTTGCTGACGGCAATACTGAACAAGATACAACTCCTAGCAGTTCGTTCCCCACCGAAGAATTTTCCACCTTAAAATTTGATGGCACTGACATTCCAAAAACGTCCGTCAAATCCATCCTTTTGACCGCAGAAACAGAGGCACATCATGTAGTCGAATCCAGTACTACGCCAGCTCAGGCAATCCCTACCACCGTTGAAAAATCAAGAGATGAGATCAGAACCACTTACTCAGGATCGTTTACTACGAGCATCGAAGAGGCAGATCAAGCAACCGCATCGGTGTTTGCTGACGGCACAACTGTTGAGTCCACTTCTGCCTCTGCAACAACTATGTCCGTTGATACATCAACATCAACGGCGAATACAGCAACGAAGTCGACACCCACCGAACCATCAACGGAAAAAGATCTAGGCACAAGCTTATATCATTCAAGCACCCTTGCAACCTTACCCACTGAACAAGACACAACTTTTAGCAGTTCATCCTCCTCCGAAGAATTGACCACCATGAAATTAGATGGCACAGACTTTCCACAAACAACAAACGAAGCCACCTCTCCCACTACAAGAAGTGAGGTAGATCGTATAACCGAATCAAGCACTACGTCGACTATGGCAACCTCTACCACCATTGAAGAATCAAGGGATGAGATCGGAACTTCGTATCCAGGGTCGTTTACTACAGCTGTCGAAGAAGATGCTCAAAGTACCATATCAATGTTTGCCGACGGTTCTACTGGTAAGACTACTTCTCCCTCTAGAACAACCTTAGAAGTCGATATCTCAACATCAATAGTTAATGAAGCAACGACGTTGACCCCTACCGAACTATCAACGGGAAAAGAATTTACCGTGCCAACCTCATTCACTGAACAAGGCCCAACTTTAAGCACCTCGTACCCCTTCGAAGCGGGTTCAACCGTAAAATATGACGATGGTGACTCTCGGCAAACGACTATTGAATCCATTTTACTAACTGGTAAAACTGAGGCGGCCACGTCTACAGTACGGGAAGGATCAATTTATGAAGCAGGTACTATTAATTCAGAATCATTTACCACTAAAATAGGATTGACAACACCACATACCTCTTCTAAGTCAATAGAGGGCACCACTTTGGAGACTACCACCTCATTTGGAACAGCTTTTGCAGGAAGCACCTCAATATGGCCGGACAAAGAAGGAACGATGTCAACTTACGCTGAGCTAACCACGTTAACAGATCTTGAAACCAGCGTGTTTCATTCGAGCACCGTGCCGACCTTATCTACTCAACAAGGACAAACTGGAAGCACTTTGTTCCCCTCCGAAGTTGGTTCAACCATAAAATTCGTTGGTACTGACGGTACAGAAACAACCCCAGAAACTGAGGCAGATCATACAGCCGAGCCAACCACCACGCGTGTCTTGCCCACTACTACGTTAGTAGAAGGATCAAAAGATGAGGCAGATACTACCAATGCTAAATCACTTACCCCTGAAATGAGATTGACAACACCTTCTCCCACTTCCAAGTCAACAGAGGGAACCACTTTCGACACTCCTACCTCCTATGAAACAACTGATGCAGGAAGTACCTCAACATTGTCGAACAAGGACGGAACCATGTCGACCGTCGCTGAGCTTACAACGGTAACGGATCTTGAAACCACCGTATTCATTTCGAGCACCGTGCCAACCTTATCTACTGAACAAGGCCCAACTTTAAGCACTTCGTTCCCCTCCGAAGTTGGTTCAACCATAAAATTTGATAGCGCTGACAGTTCTGAATCAACCACGGAGTTCACTGCTCAAACTGCAAAAACTACCACAGAATTCGTAACCGAACCGACTTCTACGTCTGCTTTTGTAACTTCCACATCACCTCAAGGATCAAGAGATAATATCGGAATCACGGATGTAGAATCATCAACCGTGGAGATTGAACAGTCAACGCCCATATCCACTGCTAGATTTGCGGAAGGAACCACTTTCGAGACATCGCCTCCCTCCGGGATAACTATACCAGAAGGTGGCTCAACATCAAGGGACGGAGAAGGACTGGGTTCGACTTTTAGTGAACTCACGACTACGATGGCCCATCTTCCAAGCACAGTGGCAACCTTATTTACTGAAGAAGGCTCAACCAGAAGCCCTTCATTCCCCTTCGAAGGTGGTTCAACCATAAAATTCGATACCACTGAGAGTTCTGAATCAAACACAGAGTTCACTACTGGAACCGAACCAACTGCTAAAGATTACGTAACCGAACAAACTTCTACGTCAACTTTCGCAACTTCTACGTCAGTTGAAGGGTCACGGGATAATATCGGAACAACGTTTGTCGAATCATTAACCACAGAGAGTGGGCCGCCATCTCTTACAACCACTTTCGAGACATCGCCTACATTTGGGATAACTGTAGGAAAAGGTGGCACAACATCGAAGGACGGAGAAGGACTGGGTTCGACTCTTAGTGAACTTACGACTACGACGGCCCATCCTCCTAGCACAGTGGCGACCTTATTTACCGAAGAAGGCTCAACCGGAAGCACTTCATTCCCCTCCGAAGGTGGTTCAACCAAATCATTTGATAGCACTGAGAGTTCTGAGTCAACTACAGAGTTCACTACTGGAACCGAACCAACTGCTAAAGATTACGTAACCGAACAAACTTCTACGTCAACTTTCGCAACTTCTACGTCAGTTGAAGGGTCACGGGATAATATCGGAACAACGTTTGTCGAATCATTAACCACAGAGAGTGGGCCGCCATCTCTTACAACCACTTTCGAGACATCGCCTACATTTGGGATAACTGTAGGAAAAGGTGGCTCAACATCGAAGGACGGAGAAGGACTGGGTTCGACTCTTAGTGAACTTACGACTACGACGGCCCATCCTCCTAGCACAGTGGCGACCTTATTTACCGAAGAAGGCTCAACCGGAAGCACTTCATTCCCCTCCGAAGGTGGTTCAACCAAATCATTTGATAGCACTGAGAGTTCTGAGTCAACTACAGAGTTCACTACTCAAACCGCAAAAACTACTACAGATGACGTAACCGAACCTACTTTTACGTCTACTTTTGCAACTTCTACGCCAGTTGACGGATCAAGAGAAAATATAGGAACAACGGATCTAGAATCTTCAACCGTAGATATTGAACAGTCAACGCCTACAACCACTGCTGGATTTGCGGACGGATCCACTTTCGAGACATCGCCTACCGCCGGTTTAACTGTAACAGAAGGTGGCTCAACGTCAAGGGACGGAGAAGGACTGGGTTCGACTTTTAGTGAATTCACGAGTATGACGGCCCATCCTCCAAGCACAGTGGCGACCTTATTTACAGAAGAAGGCTCAACCAGAAGCACTTCATTCCCCTCCGAAGGTGGTTCAACATTAAAATTTGATAGCACTGAGATTTCTGAATCAACTACAGAGTTCACTACTCAAACCGCTAAAACTACTACAGATTACGTAACCGAACCAACAACTACAGATGATGTAACCGAACCAACTACTACAGATTACGTAATCGAACAAACTTCTACGTCAGTTGAGGGATCACAGGATAATATCGGAACAACGTTTGCCGAATCATTAACCACAGAGAGTGGACCGGCATCTCTTATAACCACTTTCGAGACATCGCCTACCGCCGGTTTAACTGTAACAGAAGGTGGCTCAACGTCAAGGGACGGAGAAGGACTGGGTTCGACTTTTAGTGAATTCACGAGTACGACGGCCCATCCTCCAAGCACAGTGACAACCTTATTTACCGAAGAAGGCTCAACCAGAAGCACTTCCTTCCCCTGCGAAGGTCTTTCAACCATAAAATATACCGATGGTGACTTTTCACAAACGACTGTTGAATCCATTCCTCTGTCTAGAAAAACTGAAGCGGATCATACAACCGAACCAACTACTACGCAGGCTTTGGCCACCTCCACAGTACTGGAAGGATCAACTTATGAGGCAGGTATCAACAAAGAATCATATACCACTGAAATAGGATTGACAACACCTTCTCTCACTCCCAAGCCAACAGAGGGAACCTTTTTCGAGACTCCCACCTCCTATGAAACAACTGATGCAGGAAGTACTTCAACATTGTCGGACAAGGAAGGAACGATGTCGACCGCAGCTGAGCTTACAACGGTAACGGATCTTGAAACGACTGTATTTATTTCGAGCACCCCGCCAACCTTATTTACAGAAGGAGGCTCAACCAGAAGCACTTCATTCCCCTCCGAAGGTGGCTCAACCATAAAATTTGATAGCACTGAGAGTTCTGAATCAACCACAGAGTTCACTACTCAAACCGCAAAAACTACTACAGATTATGTAACCGAACCTTCTTCCACGTCTGCTTTTGCAACTTCTACGTCAGTTGAGGGATCAAAAGATAATATAGTAACAACGGATGTAGAATCATCAACCGTAGATATTGAACAGTCAACGCCTACAACCACTGCTGGATTTGCGGACGGATCCACTTTCGAGACATCGCCTACCGCCGGTTTAACTGTAACAGAAGGTGGCTCAACGTCAAGGGACGGAGAAGGACTGGGTTCGACTTTTAGTGAATTCACGAGTACGACGGCCCGTCCTCCAAGCACAGTGGCGACCTTATTTACCGAAGAAGGCTCAACCGGAAGCACTTCATTCTCCTCCGAAGGTGGTTCAACATTAAAATTTGATAGCACTGAGAGTTCAGAGTCAACTACAGAGTTCACTACTCAAACCGCAAAAACTACTACAGATGACATAACCGAACCTTCGTCCACGTCTACTTTTGCAACTTCGACGTCAGTTGAGGGATCACGGGATAATATCGGAACAACGTTTGCCGAATCATTAACCACAGAGAGTGGGCCGCCATCTCTTACAACAACTTTCGAGACATCGCCTGCCTTCGGAATAACTGTAACAGAAGGTAGTCCAACAGCAAGGGATGGAGAAGGAACGAGTTCTACTTTTAGTGAAGTCACAACTGAGACAGCCTATCCTCCAAGCACCGTGGCAACCTCAGTCACTGATGAAGGTTCAACTCAAAGCTATGTATCCCCAACTGAAATGGTTTCAACTGTAGAATTTGATGAAACTAACATCACAGAAATTTCCACTGAATCTTTTTCTCAGACCACCTCACCATACTCTGAGCATGTGACTGAACAAACCAGCCCGCAGCCTATGACAACTTTTATAACTAGTGGGGGATCTGGAGATGAAGCCAGAGTGACTCAGACGGAACCATTTACCACGGAGATTGAAATGTCAACTGTCGCCACCTCAACAAGGCATACTGATGGCAGTACTTTTGAGACAGCTTCATCCTCTGGGACAACCGTAGTATCCGGTACTTCCACCTTGATGAATGAAGGAGAAACGACGTTGACAGCTAGTGAAGTAACGACGGCATTAGATCATGAAACAACTGTATCTCTTACAAACACAATGGAAACCTCGTTTACTGAACGAATCTCAACTCATAGCAGTCCATACCCCACCGAAGAGGTTTCAACCCTAAAATTTGAGAGCACTGATATTCCTCATACGACCGCCGAGTCCATTCCTGTAACCGGCAAAACTTTTGCCGACCACGTAACTGAATCAACTACATCTATTACTTTAGTAACTTCTGCAACGACTGAAGGGTCAAGAGATGATGTAGGAACTCCAGCTACCACATCAACGTTTACCGACAGCACTACTTTTGAGACGACCTCCTTCTCTGAACACCCCTCTTCTCTCGGAACAACCTCGGTCGTTGGTACTTCAACATGGATTGATAGAGAAGAATTCAGCACTGATAATCCACAAAGTACCTCTGAATCTATTCCTCCAACAGACAAAACTTCAACAGAGTTTGTAACAGAAACAACTGTGCCCGCGACCATGACAACATATAAAAATGACGGAGGAGTGAAAGATGACGCCAGGACAACGTATGGAGAATTGTCAACCAGAGATGATGAACAAGTAACTTCAACTACGAGTTCCAAGTTTACTGTTGGCACTACTGTTGAAACAACAACTGTCCCTAGAACAACTGTAGCGGTCGATGCTTCAACATTAACGGATACGGAAGGAACCATGTCAACATCTAGTGAACTAACGATGGCAACAGATTTTGAATCAACCGTTGCTCTTACGAGCACCACTGAAGCATCTGCTACCGAACAAGGCTCAACCAATATGAATACGGAAGTTACTACATCGAAATTCCGTGTCACTGTCATGCCGCAAAGTACCACTGAAGCCATTACCACAACTTCCAACACTGGAGAACCTGATAATGCCTCTTCTACAACACTTAACCCCATTGTGAATGGAAGTACCATACCACTAGCTCAAACGACAACTTCATTTTACACAGAAACTATTACTTCCACCGCCCCAACCGAGACCACCATTGATAACGATGTTTTTTCAAGTACAACCTATTTTACTGATGCCACGTTTTCAGTCACTGACCGTACTGAAAGTACAACATTTGAGGATCGTATTTCAGGAGGAACTACAGTGATAGGTTCACATTCAGTCACAGCTGATTATAAAACAACAGAATCCGTATATCAGCTTGAAACATCTACTTTTCCTCAAAATTCTTTCACGCCCTCTGAAACTTCTTTGAAACCTTTTGATACTTCATCAAAAACAACAGAAAGTATAACAGATTCTATGGTTAAAGAATTAATTGTAACATCTAAGCCAATTGTAATCACTTTATTTAACCAAACTCCAGCGGTTTCAAATAATACCAAAATTCTTTTTGTTCCACCAACAAGTGGAGTTGAGTCTGGTCCCACAACAGATATGTCAGACTCATCCCCTACAATTGGCAATACTGGAACTCCCCAAAGTTATCCAACAATTGAAAATACAGAATCAACTCTTTCAGAAGTAAGTACTGACTCTTATCCATTCGAAATCACCTCCACTACTACCACATTTGAAACTACACATCTGACAGAAAACCCCACGCTGGTAACTGAGATGTTGTCCAGCCGTTTCTACAATGAAATGGACGGAAAGGACAAGACAACTACTCCCGTGTCACTTTACCCTTCTTTGACCACCAACAGCCCTGATGCTATCCCAAAAACAACAGTTCCCCCTTCAGTTCCATCTAGATGTAACAGCAACACGGAATGCTTAGCTTCTGAAGTCTGTGTTGGCACTTATTGTATAATTGCAAACTGCACAAAACCCGGTGCTAATTGTTCACCCGGATCCAGCTCGACCAGTGGTTCGAAAGGTATTCTGATTTTTGTCCTCAAATTTAATTTATGCACTGATGATTACCAATCCATGAATAAATCCTAGAATTGAAACAGTCTCTTTCCTCGAGGATTTTTTTTCTCCCCTCTATAAGTAAACGGCTTATAAATAAATGGCTTTGAAGCTGTTAGTCGAAAGAAACTTTCCCTTAGGATTTTATTTAGCATCTTATGATTCCTAAGACAAAATTCAGTGAAAAACCACTAAAATTAAGCGTCACTGTGTAAAATATGATGTCACCCTCGCAAGTGTCCTCTTTCCCTGTAGACAGAAAGTCAAATTGAGTTTTTATTTTTTGGATCAGATGGCTTTACATGTATAATGCACAGCTTGTGCAATCGTAAAACACCGTTTCTCTCCTCTTTTTACCCTTCGTATGAGAATTGAAACTCATATTTTTGTACAAAGCAACCTACTGTGTAAATATCATATTTATGTCTGTCTTTTTTTTCTCTAAACCCAGTCTGTGCTGAAGCAGTAAAAGTCCTACGACGTCCGTCTTTTTATTATTTTTCATGAAAGCATTCAATTTTTACCTGTACCAGAATATTTTGTTTCTCGTGAGTTGCAATTGCTCACATTGGGAAATATTTAATCTAAAACCATATTTTCTTTTGAAAACTTTTAATGATTCTCAAAATTAAAGTCATTAAATTATTGGAAAGCATTATTAGTGCTGCGATGATTTTTTCCTTGTGAACATAATATAGCTAAGAATGGTTGTAGCTACTTACTACTTTTTTCTCATTTTTCTCTTTTTTATTTTTTGATTTCCTGGTAGCTAATATTTTGAAATGAATTAAAGGGAAGGAAAAATAAATGCCAACTCATGGTAGAAATGTCTTGTCCGTAGCATTTTTTATCTAAAATTTAATTAAAATTTTTACTAAAAAATTTAATTTCCATCCTTTAGGATTCGTCCACTACAATTGTCAAAATTGGTTCCCTCTTCAGTCTTATCACTAAAATCTAAGATTCAGCTTAGTTACTTAAAAGTTTTATCTCTCCCCCAAGAGAACAGCATTGTAACAATTTACTCATCACTCCTCAGGAGTTTTTAAATTCTAATGACAATCTCCATTCATCATCCGTTTATCCTAATCTTCAGATGTCGCACACAATACTAATGTCCGCTTTTGTAGTTTGCTTTTGATGAGGTAATTGTGTTACAAACTATGTTATTTCACTTTTGCTCTTAATTAATGAAAAATTCTCTTGACTTCTGAAATTATGGGTCTACACTTCCGTAGATTAACTTGTAGTTGTGACTCATCCTTCTACCTCTCAAATCCAAATAAAATTGCTCCAAATCGTGAAGCTCTAAAGTATGTGCATACTTTAGATAATTATCGTAGTTCACTAATAATGTTTTCCAATTAAACTCACTAATATTATTTTAATAAATAAGAGTAGTAGAAGAAATAAGGAATTTCCTTTTAGTATCTCTTTTCTTTTTTTTCCTTTTTCTTTTTTGTTTTGCCCTAACTTGTTTCAATAATCCATGTAACTTGCTTCTGTGTATATTTCATGTACATAATAACCTTCTAATAATCATCTAACCATGTAATTCATTAGAGACTGGTGTTGCAAAAAGTCCTCATCCTTGTCAGTCAGACTCTGACTGTTTAGAGATTGAGGCATGTTATGCGGGGAATTGTGAGGATCTTTGTGCTTTATCCGGGATGTGCGCTTCAACAGCCAAATGCCACGTTTTCAAACACAGACCTGTTTGTACATGTCCTCCTGGTTTTGAAGGAAACCCTGCAGTCAAATGTTTTCTTCCCAAACCATGTAAGCGTTTTATTTGTATAGTGAATGCAAATGAAGTACATAGCGAATGAAACTTAAGTACTTCACTCTTGCAAGCTCAGCTGTGTATCAGAGCATTTTTTTTCATCGTCTTGCTCTCTTTTGCTGAAGAACTGAATGCAATGTTTTACGAATATTAATTTAAAATGACTGAATTACATTGTATTCATGATTTCTCTCAACAAAAGGGAGGGGGGGGGGTTTCTCCAATATTTGTTTCTAATTTTTTTACAAATGCACCAAGATCATCAAAATGCTTTTCTGAAGCCATTGAAAAGTTGAGAACAGATTCAGAAAAGGTCTAAATATTTTGAATCAAGTTTCTGGTTCTCTGAAAAAAAACTATTGATCTCCATGTCTCTGTAAAAATCTGCTCCGAGTTTAGAGTCGAATGGATTTAAATAAATATGCTGTATTTTACAGCATCATTCCTCGGTTAGAGTTGGAATTTCACAAGCTAGGTTCTCACTTTGGGAATCATGTTGTATAAATTCCTTGAAGCATATCAGATGCTGCAGCCATCTGTGGCTCTCTACTTTGAGGAAAGCATTTCACATTATCATCTGATACGCTGGTTTTTTTTTTCATATTTTTTTTTCTTTCAGGGGAAAATTTTGTATTTACCAAATTTCTCAAACTATTAGCCAGGATAATATTTTGCTTTCTTTGTGAAAATGTATATAATCTGAGGAAAATACTAATATGCAAAATCAAACTTGCTAATGCTGGTGAAGTAACAAACATGTTTTTTGTTTTTGTTTTTTAATATTAATTTAGTGCAATATTTTTGCACAGAGGTGAAGGTCTTATGTGAGCGCAACTATATGTATTTTTTTCATTGCCAACTTAAAATCATGTTCCAACTAACTCTTTCTAGCTTTTTTGATTATTTCCTCCTCAACAAGAAGACTTTCAATTCTTATTGATTTCTCATTTTGCCTCTAGGTACAAAATGCCAAATTTTTAAACGTTATTGTACCGAAATCTGATTTGAAGATCATGGTAAATGACAGATCATTTTCAATTATTCCATATTCAGTACCATTTGAAGATTATGTTTGATGTGTTCGTTTTCTCTTTTAAATAAATCATTGATCTTCTGCCTTTTCAGTGGCCTGTTCATCAAATGCTGATTGCTCCTTTGCTGAAGCTTGTATTCAACAGACTTGTCAACGTCCTTGCGATGTTCATAATCCCTGCGCTCAAAATGCAGTCTGTTCTAACACAAACCATGGAACATCTTGCAGCTGTATTGAAGGTTATCAAGGCAATGCTTTCATCGGATGTATTGAAGGTGAGCTTTACCATTTCCAGTGGTAAATAATTTTTCTTGCATTGTTTGTGTAAAAACCAAAATTATAGAGTAGGCAAAGAACTGGTATCTAGAAATGAAGCAGCAACAAATTATTTGGAGGGAAAGAGAGTATTATTATGGATACTTAGATTTAGATATATTTGAAAAGTTAGGCCAGTTCCAAGTGGTCCAATATTTGGTCCTGGTCCTGCTGCCTGATTGTTGATCTTTTTTGGTAATGACCAGATAAGACAAGAAGATAGGAAATGGAGTTGTGTGATTAATCAACTTTCATCGTTGTCTTTTTTGGTTGTGCCTATGATGAATAGAATCGAAGAGAAGCGAAAGCCACCTGGATCGCCAATACTTTTTTGCTAAATCCACTCAACACAGGCACAACAAAAAGAACGACTGATAAAGCTGACAAATTACATTACTCCATTCCTCCTCAGTCTTACTGTGCTAGTTAGCTATTACAAAATTTTAAAAATTAAGCCGCAAATTAAACAGCATGGTTTGAAGAAATTACATTCAACAACGAACTTGATAAACAAAGTACAATAATACCATGGTTTTCTTTTCTCGGTTCAAGACATTACTGGTTTTTATGTTTTGGATAGGGAACTTTTTCTCCTTTTTTTACAAAAAAACTTTATTATTTCTGTTACAGTTGCTAACTATCAGCCAATCTGCCAGTATAATGAAGACTGCCCTCCTGATAAATTATGTGATCGTCTCAATCGTATTTGTATCAATCCTTGCTTTGAAGATTCTTGTGGTGAAAATGCTGAGTGTGTCCCTGTCAACCATGGTGTTGATTGCCGCTGTCGCACTGGTCATCAAGGAAATCCATACCTTGGATGCACATCAGGTTAGATTTTTAAGTGCATTAAAGTTTTTTGTGTCCTTAGTAGGTACAAATTAATAGCCTACTCACACGCTGTCAGTCATTTAATGATTTGAAGAAAATTATAATTGATTGAAAATTTACAATATTTTTGTGTGCAATGAGTCTGTTGCAATTTTTTCTTTCCGCTAGCACGTAAACAGAAAAAAAGAGAAGAACACTTTTTGAGTGTGTCTATTGATACCTCTTATATCTAGCCACTGATTGCTTGCCCCTTCAGTTATCTTACGCCACACTAAAACTGTATCAACTTATTTTTTTTGTCTGTTAAAACTATCATCTTTTTCCCTTTTTGCAAATTGACCAAATGCTATTCTGATTCCTAAGTATTTTCAATACTCTGCACAGATCTTTGCAACAAGTACCCAGATAAACCTTATTACAGTATTTGAACCGGTATACTTCTTTAATTTTTTTTTTTTTTTTTTTTAAAAAAAACAGTGTTGGACTACAATACTGCGGACATTTTAAATGTTTGATGTAGGTATGAGTCTTTGAAAATAATAAATGGTTTACCTTTGCTGATGTGCTGATGTCCATGTATGAGACTAAATATGTAGCTTCACGACCACTTAGTTGTTAGTGAAAATAAAAAATCCTCGTAAAATAAGTGGGGTGTTTGACTAATTTTTTTATTCTTTTAGTTACTGGTTGTCAGAGTGATGAAGAGTGCCATGCTAATGAGGCTTGTGTGGGAGGAAAATGTAGTAATCCTTGTCATTGTGGCCCGAATGCAGTATGTGATGTTGTCTATCACAAGGCAAATTGTAAATGTTTGCCAGGCTACACGGGTGATGCCATCCTTGGCTGCAAAGGTAATTATGGAAAAACATAATATTCTATCACCAAAATCAAAATTTTGAAAAGTTATGAGAAAAACTGAAGGCATTTTTCATCAAAGATTGAAATCATTTGTTTTATTGAATATTCAGTCAGTTACCTTGACCTATTAATTGTGAGTTATCTAAAAGTTACATTTCTGTATCATTTTCGACTCATATTGCCTATAACATTAATTTTCTTAACATGGAGTAAGTCCAAAAAAAAATCTTAGGAGTACACTTTTTACAATTGAGTCAAGTGAGTTTTTTTTTGCCTTTGTTCAAATGATAGTAGTTGAGTGAAATGATCAAATTTATGCAAGTGCCAGCTTACTGTTAGTTGCTTGAAATACTAATCCTAAAAATGTTACATTTCATTTCATCTTATTGTCAAAGAAAAGTCAAAGAGTCTTTACATCTTTTCGGAAAAAAATGTTCTACTGTTTGAATCTCAATATTTCCTCACTGCTCATTGATATTATAAAAACGTTGATCCTTGAAAATTAGCATATTGGGCTTTCACAATCTCTGAGTTGCATTGCTGCAGTTCAGTCAACCCATATAAAATAAACAAAAGTCTCTCAAGAAACAACAGTGTATCCTTGAATTCTAAATTTTGTTCATCTATTTTTCCAGCTCCATCCAATCCTTGTCATCCAAATCCTTGCGGAGTTCATGCCTTATGCGAAATTGACAATGGAAATCCAATTTGTTTCTGTCCCAAAGGAATGACAGGCAATCCTTTCAAAAATTGCAGTAAGTTTAAATCTTCTCATCAAAATAACCCATTTTGGTTGACATTCAAATTACTCAGAAGTTAGAAATTCACCATAGAGAGTGAAAATTTTTTTAATAAAAAAAAAAGCCCATCAAAATTGCCCACATTATAAGAAGATTCTTTGCAGGCTAAATTTTGTTGTATTTATGAATGACGCTCCTTATAATCTCTTCAGCTTTCAAAACCAAATTTATAAAAAGCTGCAATAAGCCACAATAAAAAACAACATTATTTTGAAGAAAGTTAAAAAAAAAAACCAGAAAAATGAGAATATTATACTGATTTGGACCATAAAAGTACATAAAAGTGCAAGACACCTTGGTTATAGATACCTTAAAGTTTTGTTTTCATCAGATCTCAATCTGTTCGAGCCCCTTCCAAGCAGGAAAGAATCATGACATTTTTTCATATTTTCCTCTTTGATAGCTTTTAATCAAACTCTTTCCTCAGTTCCAGAGGGAGATGAATGTTCACCAAACCCTTGCGGGCCATATTCAGGCTGCCGTGTTGTGCATGGTTCAGCAGTTTGTTTCTGCCTGCCAGAATACGAAGGAGATCCTCCGATTAAACCTTGTCATCTACCTCAAAATCCATGCAATCCCTCCCCATGTGGACCAAACACTCAGTGCAGCTTGCTTGCCAATGGTTTTGCAAAATGTACGTGTCTACCAGGAACCGTTGAAAGTCCGAACACCATCAGAGGTTGCGTGGAAAAGCGTAATCCTTGCGAGCCCAACCCTTGTGGTCATGGAGCCATCTGTGATTCAAATCGACCTCAGATTTGTTTCTGTCCAGAACCATTGATTGGAAATCCTTACCGATCTTGCACAGGTGAGCACTCAGCAGTACGAAGATGTTCATGAAAAAATGTTAATTCATCAAGCAGAAACATTTTCAGACCTTATTTTGATCTCTGTTATTCTGTCAGTTATTTTTGATCTTATGGATTTCCTAAATTTTGAGTGTGAAAAAAAAATTTAGCATCCATTAGATTGTCATAATTTTGATCAAGTTTATGTCCAAGAATTGAGGAAAAATAGTGATTTAAAGGAGCAGCGTCAGATAAAAAATGAGCTGATTTATTATTATACTCTGTTGCTCTTAATTATATTTGAGGCTTTTTTTTATGGAGAATTATCACATGTTCACTGATGATTTCAACTTTTAAACTATCAGCTCATGATTACTCCTTACAAATGTTTTTGGTCGAATTTTAATTAGCTCCCAAATTCTTTCAAATTGTATCGATGTAGGATCTGTGATGAACCGCCAAATTCTGGTATGAATAATGATCTTTTAATTTCACACTTGTGTTATTATTTGTGCAGAACCTGTGAAAACACTATGTCAACCCGGTCCCTGTGGTGTAAATGCTGATTGCTATGTAACTGGAGGAACAGAACAGTGCTTTTGCAAATCGGGTTTCATCGGCGATCCTTATTCAGCTTGTCATGCACCTCCAACTTCACCATGTATTCCAAATCCTTGTGGACCATTCGCTCAATGTACTGTCACTCCTGAGGGTCACTCGCTTTGTCTTTGCCCCGATGGAATGGCAGGTGATCCGGCTACTGGGTGCTCAGGCCCCGAATGTAGGACTGATGATGATTGCCCGTGGGACAAATCATGTCTGGGTTGGAAGTGCCTGAATCCTTGTCCCGGCGCATGTGGAATAGGGGCAGATTGTCGCGTAGAAAAGCATCATCCAGTTTGCTCTTGTCATGAAGGTCTCACTGGAAACCCCTTGATAAGATGCTCTGCAATAACAGGTACTTATTACTCTCTTACATAATATCAGATTTATTCAGTAAAGAGGTGATTTCAAAAATGACCTCTCCTTAGAAAGGAAACTTGAGGCACCCTTTAGAAATCAGTAAATGGGTAATTTTTAAATTAAAAATGTCATCCTTGGTGCAAATTAGAGACAACTTTATTTTGTGTTGAAAGATACTAAACACCAACTTTTTAGAGGCTTTGAAAATGAAAAAATATTGAATTGTAAGTGCTCTATAACCTGGGAAAATATGTACCTCCATTGTTGTTTAAAAACTTCTGATTGTATTTAATTTTTCTCTGATGAAGAGAATTCAGCATTTTCTCATCAAATCTTCCAAGAATATCCTCATCCAGTAGTACAACAACGATCATTTGCAAAAAGTTTGAACAAACCATTATAAGTTTTGATTCACGAAAAGTTTGCAGCAGTGCAAATTGAAGTAAGTATTTTTCTTTTGCAACCGTCAGTTTCCGGCTCTTTAATTATCTAAGTGGAAACTCAAAATTCAGTCATCAGTATGATAATTTTTTATGGAATTTTTCTCGGCAGTTTTAGTACCTGTGGCAAATCCATGTGAACCCAGTCCATGTGGCCTAAACACCATTTGCACCATAAAGAAAAACAAAGCTGTCTGCTCCTGCCTACCTGACTTCATCGGAGATCCTCTCACTAGTTGCCAGCCAGAGTGTTTGATGAATTCCGATTGTCCATTCCATCAAGCATGTCTTGGGTACCGTTGTAAAGATCCGTGTTCCTTCAGCAATATTTGTGGGCTTGGTGCAGTTTGCTCATGCAAAGAACACACAGTAACATGTAATTGCCGTGAAGGGTTTACTGGAGATCCATTCATCCAGTGTATTCCAGAACGTAAGTTTTTACTTTATTCTCTGGCTGGAATCTACAATTACGATTATTACTACAAATTTCTACTACATTACAAATACTTTCAATAAGTCCTAATTATTGAGCCCGTAAATATTTTTTTTTTTTTTTTTTTTTTTTTTTTTTGAAATTTTGACTTGTAGGCAAATATTTTAAAGAGTCTATTAAGGTCTTTACATAATTGATTGTTTGTTTTTAACTTTTAAATAACCATCCATTTTGTTCTTGAGTCAATTGAATTTCTACCACACACAAAATTGAAAATACCACATGCTTGAATTTTATCCTCATCTGAACCTCTATTACCAAAATGTATGCTGTTTTTTTAAAATTTTATCCACAGGGTACAAGTTATTTTAAAATAAAAAATTTACCCTCTTTTTGATAATTCTTGACTCTATTTATCAATTTCAAAGCATTCCCTTTAATTTTTTGTATTCCTCAATTTTTTATACTTGTCCATATTCATGGTTATTCATTCTCAATTTTCAGCATATCTACCACCATACCCAAATATGACACTGCCGTGTAAACCTTCACCATGTGGTTCAACGGCTCACTGCAATGTTTTTGGTGGACAAGTGGCGATGTGCGATCCATGTGGCTCAACAAGTGGTTACTGGAGCCCGGCTTGTCATCCAGAATGTTTGTTCAACTCAGACTGTCCTTTTGATCTCGCATGTATTGGACAGAAATGTTTGAATCCATGCTCTGGATCATGTGGAGTTGGTGCTGAATGTGTAGTTTATCATCATCAACCCATTTGTACCTGTCCATATGGACTCGTCGGGAATCCATTTGAACACTGTCATCCACCACCTCCAAGTGAGTATATCTGATTTACAAAAAAGTAAAAAAATTCGCCTCTCTACATGAATCATGATTTTGACATATTTTCCCTCTGTATTAATATTAACTTTAACTCTTATATTCCGTTAACTAATACTTTTGTACTTTCTAGTACAAGATTTAATCATTTTTCGTGTTTCCTTTATGAATACTTTATAAAAGAAACAATGCACTATCACAAACCTTTCTACTGTGTAAATCTGTTTCCAGAAGAAATTTTTGAAAGTTTACACAAACTTTAATACAAAAAGTAGCTCTTAAGATGAACATACAGCTCTCATTAATATTTTTCCTTGAAGCATGAATATAATTTTACGTTCTTTTCTCATTTACTTTCCAGCTGCTGTCAAACCCAAACCTGACTCATGCGAAACGTTACAATGTGGTGCTAATGCAGCATGTAAAGTCAGCTACGGGCACACAACTTGCATCTGCTTACCAGGATATCATGGCAATCCCTATTTGGCCTGCAAACCAGAATGTGTGCTAAATACGGATTGCGCTCACACTCTATGCTGTGTTAATAACAAGTGTGAGGATCCTTGTATAGGTGCTTGCGGTGTCAATTCTCACTGCCAAGTAGTCAATCATCTACCAGTTTGTTTCTGTCCTCAAGATCATACTGGAGATCCATTTGTTAGTTGTTATCCTTATAGACCAAGTAAGTAGTTTTAATCTTCATAAAATTTTCTAAAAAAATGATTTTGCTTTTTTCCAAACCAGATCTTCCTTCCATTACCTCAAGTAAGAGGAGCAAAAAATTAATTGAAGCACTCATGAACATGTTGTGCAATAATTATTTATTGGAGAAATCGATGCAAAGACAGACCTTTATGATAAAATATTTTGCGAATATTAATAACTGTAATATTTTTTCACAAGCTTTAAAGGAATCTTTAAACTTATTTCACCGCCCTATAATGTATGTGAAAAGTTTGTTTTTCAACTGAACAACTTCAAAATCTCCGCATTATTCATGGAGAAACATAGCGTCATTGAAAACTTAAACTGTCCATAATTTTAAGCAATTCTAATCCCTCGTTTGGTTTTCTTTCCAGTTGTTCCGCCTGTGATGGGACATCCCAGTAACCCCTGTGATCCTTCTCCTTGCGGCCCCAACAGCCGTTGTTTGATATCTAGTCAAGGCTACGCCACGTGCTCATGTTTACCAGGCTTCCGTGGTGTACCTCCCGTTTGTAAGCCAGAATGTGTTATTAGTCCTGAGTGTCCTCAATCTCAAGCTTGTATAAATCAAAAATGTACTGACCCCTGTCCAGGGACGTGTGGAATAAATGCCAAATGTATTACTATTAACCATAATCCAATTTGTAGCTGTCCACCTGGTCACATCGGTGATCCATTTGTTAGCTGTTATCTACCGCCAGGTAATTTTAATTCTTTGGTTTCTATTTTCTTCTGTCGTACTTGAGTATTGTGCTCTTCTCTGTGTACTATAAGTCAGGGGTAAGAGGAAAAATAAGTCAATCTGGATGGTTTCAGACAAGTAATTTTTTTTTTAAATTTAAATAGATTTTCTTTTTACCCAGTGGGTCTGTTAAAAGTCCGAATTATATATTTAAGAATGAATTTTGAGCGTTCAATGAGCTTGTTCAGCAATTCGTAATTCTTGCATTTTTGGAAACTAGAGAGTGCACAGAGTTCACAGGAATTTTCCCCGATTTTTTTGAGCAATATTAACCCACGAAATACGAGTCCAAAAGTCCGTATTTTGGGCTCCCATTTAAACGCGCGCCGCTTGGCCCATCTCAAAATGGCGCCCATTTTCTCCGTCCGGCGGTGGCCACACTTTTGACCCGGCGTGCCGGCGAGGTACCTCTGCATGCCTCTGCCGTGTGTGGGTCGTATAAACAAACGAAGATTGATAACACAAATGATCCAAACAACTCGAAATCTCTTAATTTTAATTAATTTAAATCCATTTTCGACTTCAACCAAGCATTTGGCAATAATATTCATCGTATTTTACAACCAGGAGCCACGGCCTGTCGGCTCATTTTAAGGTGCATTCTGAAAATCAGTCTTACAAGTCCAGTGTCCAAACCCAGACTTTCTTCTTTTACTTTTTTTGACCAATCTCTTTTCATTTTCGCCTCAAATCAAATGTTTTGCAGTTTCTTTGTCTTAAGTATGTGGTCCTGAATTCATTCAAGAGTTAGAAGTTCACCATTTATTTAGTATTATAGCCTTTTAACCTCTCAAGCTTTACCGATATGATCTCATGTAGTTCGAGGTTTCTTTGGCCCAAACCAAGTGATTACACATCTGATGTGTGTCTTATGGCTCTTCAAATTCGCAGTTTAGAACTAAATCAGATACTACAGTTACTTAATCCAGTTCTGCTCTCTTGTTCAATGTTTGTCATAAGTGTTTGTTCGTGTCTGTTCTTTATAAGTGACCACTGTAGTGCATATACTTATATGCTTTCGATAGTAGAGTTGTGATGTCGGTTCAGCCGCAGCACTCACCAGAAAATTCCTTCTTCGATCGGACCTTTGATGATTCATTGTCGAAATAGCTTTGAACTGATTAAAGATAAATGACACCGCATGAGTGTCATTTAGTGATGAATCAGAGATCAAAGTATAAATTTGAAGCTGCTATAGCAGTAATTTTATCAGACAAGAGTGACCGTCTAAATGCAAAATCCACTTGTGATAGATCTCAGAAACTTTGAATCACCGCAAGGAGACATTAACAGAATATCTATACACCAAATTATTTACGCAACTAGGTGATTTCTTTGGTAAATTATTGCGCTTAAGAGAAAGTCCTGACTGTAGAAAACAAGAAATAATACCTGTTCCGATAGCATAACTGTGTATAAGTATATGCACTACAGTGGTCACTTATAAAGAACAGACACGAACAAACACTTATGACAAACATTGAACAAGAGAGCAGAACTGGATTAAGTAACTGTAGTATCTGATTTAGTTCTAAACTGCGAATTTGAAGAGCCATAAGACACACATCAGATGTGTAATCACTTGGTTTGGGCCAAAGAAACCTCGAACTACATGAGATCATATCGGTAAAGCTTGAGAGGTTAAAAGGCTATAATACTAAATAAATGGTGAACTTCTAACTCTTGAATGAATTCAGGACCACATACTTAAGACAAAGAAACTGCAAAACATTTGATTTGAGGCGAAAATGAAAAGAGATTGGTCAAAAAAAGTAAAAGAAGAAAGTCTGGGTTTGGACACTGGACTTGTAAGACTGATTTTCAGAATGCACCTTAAAATGAGCCGACAGGCCGTGGCTCCTGGTTGTAAAATACGATGAATATTATTGCCAAATGCTTGGTTGAAGTCGAAAATGGATTTAAATTAATTAAAATTAAGAGATTTCGAGTTGTTTGGATCATTTGTGTTATCAATCTTCGTTTGTTTATACGACCCACACACGGCAGAGGCATGCAGAGGTACCTCGCCGGCACGCCGGGTCAAAAGTGTGGCCACCGCCGGACGGAGAAAATGGGCGCCATTTTGAGATGGGCCAAGCGGCGCGCGTTTAAATGGGAGCCCAAAATACGGACTTTTGGACTCGTATTTCGTGGGTTAATATTGCTCAAAAAAATCGGGGAAAATTCCTGTGAACTCTGTGCACTCTCTAGTTTCCAAAAATGCAAGAATTACGAATTGCTGAACAAGCTCATTAAACATAATTTAATAAAGATGATTTCTTTAAAATCTCCTGTGTTAAAAGATTTAAACATTTCTTTCTTCTAAATGTTCGTAAATTAATAATGCACATTAAATCCGTTTACAAAATTGTATATTACTTTATTTGCCTAATTCGTAGAAAGCAAAGATCGAACATACTGTATTATATTGTAAAAAATTAAAATTGATTATTCAATTAAACATAATCGAATGAAAATGACTTCTTTAAATCTCCTGCGTTAAAACCCTCGTGCTTTCTCTCTGATGTATTGTTAACCTTTGAATACTTTATGGCAACATTTCTTCTTTTTCTTTTTTCAGCGGAAGAAATACCTAAAGTTCCTTTAAACCCTTGTGAGCCGTCTCCATGTGGTCCTAATTCAATTTGTCAAGTCACGCATAGTCATCCTGTTTGCTCATGTGCTCCCAATTACATTGGAAGCCCACCTTTCTGCCGCCCTGAGTGTACGATGAGTCAGGTGAGAACATTTTATCAACCATATAAATATATCCTCTCAAAGTTTTTGTCAAAATTTTGTAATTTAATTGAAGAAATTGATAGATCCATACAAAGATCAGGACTTTCTTCATTTCTGTTTGTTTGCATCATTTACTTCATGATAACCAGTCTTAAAAAAGAAACTGCATTGTTCTTTCTTTTAAAGGAATTAACAAATTTCAATTACTTATTTTCTGTTCACGGTGAATAGTTTTATCATAGCTGTGTCATTTCCTTTCTTTTTTTTCAGGAATGTCCTCATGACAAAGCCTGTATCAAAGAAAAATGCAGGGATCCATGTGTGCAATCATGTGGGTTTAACGCCAAGTGTAATGTTATCAACCACACGCCTTTCTGCACCTGTTTGCCAGGATTTGAAGGTGATGCCTTTGTCGGTTGCTCATCAATACCTCCAAGTACGTATTGAAATCATTTTTCTACTAAAAATAATTGAGAAAGGTTGCAAAACTTCCTTGCATTAATAGTCCAGTACGGTTTACTCTATCGCCTTTGCCGCAATTCTGCTGATTTGGTGCCTGTTGAATCACATATTAATTTTGGCTTGGAGGAAGGATCAATCTCTGTAAATTCAACAGATAAAATTGCCAACAATCATTTTATCAGTGTCTTTCTCTTGATGAAGTCTACAGTTCCTCAGTCAAATAACAAAATTATCAAGTGTTTATCAAGAAAAAAAAGCATTTATGTCAAAAATTTAAGAAGTTTTTACTTAGTGTTCTTTAAATGTATAAAACTATTAATGGTCAATATGTTGTGTGTTCTCTTTAGCCGTCCATCCTCCAGTACCAACTGATCCATGTATACCATCTCCTTGTGGTGAAAACGCTCAATGCACCAGTATAGATGGCACTGCAAGGTGTACCTGTATTCCACCATATTTTGGCAACCCATATGCAGGAGGCTGTCGGCCAGAATGCGTGATTTCAAGTGATTGCCCTCCCTACCAGGCTTGTTTATCCAGCCATTGCAGGGATCCGTGTCCTGGAGTTTGTGGTGTCAATGCGCAGTGTAATGTCGTCAATCACATTCCGCAATGTTCCTGTTTTCCAGGTTACATTGGGGATCCGTTCCAGTCATGCAGAATTGAACCTAAACGTAAGTTTTGTTGCTTCAACTTGATTTTTTTTTTTAACTCACTTTGTGTACTTTTTGTAAAAATTAGGAAAAAATCAACCAGTGGAATTTCATAAAAGATAGAAATCTTGATTAGTGATCAAAATTGAATTACAAGACTCACTGAAAGAGAGAAAGCATACAGATATTTGTGTTGAGCAGTAATTTTACCTCTGAAAAACTTTCTTAGTCTCCCTAAGAATCTAATTTTTGGTCGGCGCTCAAAAGAGGCTGCATCTATTGTTGGGTGACATTTTAATTAATTGAACACACCCTTTTCTCAACATGTGATTCTCATAAGATACTGAATAGTGATTGGTCCATTGGAGGTTAATTTTCTTCAGTTATTTACGTAGTTGAATTTTCCTGAAAATTAAGGAAAATCTTTGATATGTCAGCACATCTGAATCAGAATGAACTAGTTTAGGTAATGGGTGGAAAACCAAAAAGGATTGCAAAAATATTTTTTGGTGGGAGTCTCAGAGCGATCATGGTCGGACAAATTGTCTTAGTTTACTTATACACACTGGTGGATGTAAAATGACTTCATTTTTTATCTAACCAAGAAATTCTCTATAAGAAACTACGATCATGAAATTTTACAATGAATTCATAGATTATTAATATTGATTCCTTGTAATTTTCCAGCATTACCTCCTCAGAACCCTTGTGTGCCATCACCATGTGGACCTCATAGTCATTGTCGTGTATCAGATGGTCATGCTGTCTGCTCCTGTGAAGAAGACAAAATTGGCACACCTCCAAACTGTAGGCCCGAATGTCTTGTCAGTGCTGAGTGTGCTCAAAACAAGGCTTGCATCAATCAACATTGCAAAGATCCTTGCCCTGGAACCTGTGGTCTTCATGCCAAGTGTCAAGTCATCAATCACAATCCTGTCTGTAGTTGTCCTCCACATTTCGTTGGAGATCCTTTCGTCAGATGCGTTGAAGATGGTAAGCAATGCAAAGCAATATAGCTAAGATAAGTTCTGTATGAACAGGTTGATTATAATCGTAACTGAGAGCAGTATAGTCTATTTAGATTTGGTCAATTGATGAATATTTAATTTTGAACTATGTGCCCAACCTAGTGACTCGTCAACTATTTTTTTATGGTACACTTCCTTGTAGGAAATGATAGGATAGGAGAAGGGTGTGAATAGATCTGAAAGTGAGTTGATGTGTGAGAAGTACTTACAATGCTGTGTGAATAAAAAAGTAAAAAATTGAATTTTTATGTTATCTATTTACAATTAATGCCATGCACTTCTGGAGGTAGTCAACAGTTCATACCTCTTTTGGATATCAAAAGCTCTAATCGGCCAATAAGATTCCAAAATAAAAATAAGAGGTTTTTAGTCGTGCGGCGAAGCCGTATAGACTCTAGGTTTCGCCGGAGGCTAAAAAGTGTCCACACTTTTAGGCTAAGTCCAAGAGGAGAATTTTCGAGGAACCAAGTAACATATGAAGTATTGATATCGGTGCATTTTGGCCCAATGGAGATGTTACATGTGCGAGGCATTTGCAATTTGACTGTTGATTCTTGTATAAAAGTTCACGAGGAACACGATGGTGCCACTGGCTTTCTCTGAAATCATCTCCCAAGCTCAAAAAAAGCTCTCAAGTTGAGGCCAAAATGGAGGGGATATCCCACCCTACCCTGAAAGTCCACGTCTACATGAAGACAAACTCTCCATGCA